GGGAGAAGGAGGAGGAAGAAGAGGAAGAGGAGGGGAGAAGGAGGAGGAAGAAGAGGAAGAGGAGGGGAGAAGGAGGAGGAAGAAGAGGAAGAGGAGGGGAGAAGGAGGAGGAAGAAGAGGAAGAGGAGGGGAGAAGGAGGAGGAGGAGGAGGAGGAAGAGGAGGAAGGGGAGGGGAAAAGGAGGAGGAGGGGGGAGGAGGGGAGGAGGAGGAAGAGGAGGAGGGGAGAAGGAGGAGGAGGAGGAGGAAGAGGAGGAGGGGAGGAGGAGGAGGAGGAGGAGAACTGTGGAGTCCTTGGTGCTTCTCTGAGCTTGGTGGTTTAATGACACAACTAGGTAATATCAGGATATTGATGTTCCGTAGAGAAGTTAGAATCTCTCCCTTCTTCTAGCCCTGATGGTGTTTCCTAGTTGGGTCATTAAATGTAAGAAAACCACCCAGCTCCGCAAGCCCCAAGGGACCCCACAGCCCTCCCCCATTCTGCCACCTCCCCTCCCTCCTGGCATCGATATGTTGCCTCGTTGGGACACGAGACGCCTGCATGGAAAACCGCCAAACTCGGAGAGCACCAGGGACCCCGAGCCTCAAAATATTCTCCTTTGCCGGTATCATTTCTTCCTCCCAGACAAATCCCCCTGGGAGGTTTGCTGCGATTTCATCCCTACCCATTCTCCTTGCAGTTTCTCCTCTCGCTAGAGCTGAAAACTTCCTCCAAGCCTTACGTCAGGGGTCGCCCAAGCGGCCATTTTAAAGACTTGTGGACTTCAACTTCCATCTTTGCTGGCTGAGGAATTCTGGGAGTTGAAGTCCACAAGTCTTAAAAGTGGCCAAGTTGGGGGAGCCCTGGCTTACGTGATAGACCAAGGACTCCACCACCCGAGGGTTGGATCTGAAACTTACAGGGCTGCCATCATGGCTTCTTCTTCCGCCTGGCGAATGGCGTTCAGCTCTTCGGTGCGGGACAACGACGCATCGCCCTTCTTCTCCTTGGCATACCAGGTGAGGTCCTTGCCCTTCTGCCAGCGGCCCACGGGGGCCATCAAGGAATTCCCTGAAAGGAAAGCCAAAGAAATTCTTGCAATGTCGGAGCAGGAAGATCTTGGTGCTCCCTGAGCCCGGTGGTTTTCTTGCCGACGTCTCATGACCCAACTAGGGAAGAGCGTCAGTGCTAGTAGGGAGTGGGGCTTGGGAAGAGGGGGGCGGGGGGGAAGGATTAAAGTTGCCAACGTTGAAAAATATACCGCTGGAGCAATTCTGGGAGTTGGAAGTCCAAGCATCTTAAAGCTAGATGGACAATTTGAGGAGCTGAAGGAAGGGAGGAAGGCTCAGCCCGTATCATTGTACACATGTTGTACTCTGACAATATAGGTAATAATAATGAAGGGTACACCATTTAAAGCCTCCTGACTGGGGGATTCTGGGAGTTGAATCCAGCCCTTTTAAAGTTTCCAAAATTGAAAAACGGTGACATACTAAATAAAAAATGTCTCTACTGTTTCAATCTAGCTTAGCAAGCTGCCAATTTGCATCCGGAGACATTTGAACCCAGCACTGCTGCTCTTTAAATAGATCTGGAGTCAATTCATTATTCTTCCTTTGTTCTCTCTCCTAATAAGCTTAATATTTTTTCTTTTACCAGTAAAATTTGGCAAAGTCTCTTGGGAAAAAACAACAACAACAGGAGCTGATTGGACAAGCCACCAATCAGAAAAGCTAACCGAGATAGTTTTCACGTTGTTTGTCTGTCTTCACATCTTCCCACTTGAACTGGTCCTGCCCTCCTCTCACGCCACCACGGGAGGAGCCGAACATGGTGGAGCCTTAACCAGGATCTAAAAAAGAAGATGACAGTTTAAAGTAGGTTAAACTCTATTCTAGTCACAAGACTGGAGTTCTGCCAAGCTAGTGAAAGTTTGCTTATTGTGTTCATGGTTTGCCCAAGGAAGACCAGTGTTAGACAGGTAGTTCTCAAGTTACGACAATGTAGCCCAAAATTTCTGTTGGTAAGCAAGCTAAGGGAGTTTTGTCCCATTTTACAATCTTTCTTGTCATGGTTATTAAGTGAATCAGTGCAAGTTATGTGCCACGGTAGTCACACGGTTGTTAAGGGAATCTAGTTTCCCCACAAAAGGGGATCACATAACCCAAGGACACCGTGACCGTCGTATAAATAGCAGCTAGTTGCCAAGCAACCAGGTTTTGGTCATATGACCACAGGTATGCGGCTACAGTAGTAAGTGTGAAAAACAGTCACAAGTCATTTTTTTCAGTGACCTGTGTAACTTCAGTCACTAAATGAAAGGTTGTAAGTCTTGAAGTGTCCGTTGTCTCAAGTGCGGTGTTAGACCACATTTTAGAGAGAAAAAAATAGTCAAAAGAAGAGGTCATAGGCCACTGTTTTCAATCTTGGGTAGTTTAAGAGCTGTGGACTTCAACTCCCAGAATTCCCCAGACAGCAAAACTGGCTGGGGAATTCTGGGAGTTGAAGTCCACGCATCTTAAAGTAGCCAAGGTTTAAAAACAATGCAATAAAGTGTTAACGAGAAGTGGAGACCCCGGAATTAGGCACGCCCTCCCCCCTCCCACATGATCCTCCGCCCCCCCTTCCTCATCCTCACCCCAAACGTGCAAAGGGGTGCAATTCTAACAGCCGGCCCCCCCCCCCAACACACATAGGGAACTCTTACACCGGAGCCCAAGAGCCCCTTGAATCTTCAATGAATGCTTCCCCGCACCCCACTTCCTCTCGCCCAACTCTAGCTGGGACACACCCCACCCGGCTGGGGAAGATGGGATAACACATTCCCCCGGTTTGCAAAGACCCCGGGGCTAGTGCACGGTCTCCCCACCGCACTGCAAAGGAGAGAAGGGGTGCATCGCAAGGAGTCCTCTCCTTTAAGGGGAGCCCCACCCCAAACCCGCCAACCGGTTCAGCCCAGCCCAGCAACCTTAACTGCAGCTTCACGTGCAAAACCCAGGCGTCGCTTCCGCGAGCCTGGGCGGGACCATCCGTTCTCATGGGGGACGACGACGAAGCGGGCTGGACCAATCGGCTCAAGGAGGAGGGGGGTGAGAGGAGGAGAAAATGTCTAATTGAAAATTCCTTTCGCTACGACCGCCTCCACTTGACAGAAGTTTTTAATTTTTTTTTTAAGTTAAAAAAAAAAAAGCAAAAAAGAGGGCTTGAGGGGCAGTGAAGCAATGTTTTTTTTTTCCCTCTCCAACTCCGGAGTAATTTTTTCCAGCCACTTGGAGAATTTGTAGTGGCTGGGGATGTTGGGCTTTGTAGTCCCCGCGCGCGCGCAGGCGCGCATGCACGCACACGCATGTACAACGGTGCCGTCGGGTTTGTTGGGAATAGTTGTTTGCAGAACGCCCAGCCGGATGGGCATTTGAGGTGTCCCATTGGTGCTTTTGGGGGGCGGGGCGGGGGAGTTAGTAGTCCAACTCCCATGGTCCCCAGACGGCAAGGGTGTCGTGGACGATGGTTGCAGAAATCCAGGCAGTGTGGTTTCCTGCTCTTTTTCCCCAGGAAGAAGAAAAGGGTGTTTCTGGGTGCATTAGGGTGGAGGCCACTTCTCCACCCCACCCTGCCTCCCCAGGATTTTGGGTATGGCTACAATGTCCATCCTCCTTAAGTCAGCAAAGATGTTGCAGTTCCCAACCTTGATAAAAAGCTAATTTAGGCATGCCTTGTAAAGAGAGAAGACCCCAAATAGTGCTGCAGATAGAGAGTTTGCTGGTTCGTCTTCTCACTTGAACGACAGCCCTACGAGGTAGGCCTCAGGCACTTAAGTTTCCCAAATATTTTAGAAGAGCGAGAACCTCTCTAAAAATGTTTGAAAATATCCTAGATTTAGGCAGTGACTCTAGCAAAGGTCTTCAAACTTGGCAAGTTTAAGACTTGTGGACTTCAGCTCCCAGAATTCCTGAGCTAACACGACTGAAGAAGGAATTCTGGAAGTTGAAGTCCACAAGTCTTAAAGCTGTCATGTTTGAAGACTCTTGGAATATAGGTTCAACAACATCAGGGTTTTTCCAAACGTGGCCCATTTAGGAGGTATGGACTTTAATTTCCAAAATTCTCCAGCTGGCATGCATCTTAAAAGTGATTTATGTTAAGAAACTCTGATCTAGAATAGAATAGAATAGAATAGAATAGAATGAAGAAGAGGAATGGAATAGAATATAGAACAGAATATAGAATAGAATAGAATAGAATAGAATAGAATAGAATAGAATAGAATTATTTACTGGCCAAGTGTGATTGGAAACACAAGGAATTTGTCTTTGGTGCAAATGCTCTCAGTGTACATAAACATACATTCGTCAAGAAGCGTAAGATACAACACTTAGTGATAGTCATAGGTTACTAATAAGCAATCAAATTATACTAGGAAACAAAACAATATAAATTGCAAAGATACAAGCAACATGGTTACAGTCATGTGGGAAGAGGGAGGTATTAGGAAGGATGAGAGGAATAGTAATACAGTCTTAGTAAATAAGTTGACAGTGTTGAGGGAATTATTTGTTTAGCAGAGGGAAGGCATTTGGGGAAAAACCGTCCTTGTGTCTAGTTGTTCTGGTGTGTAGGGCTCTATAGTGTCATTTTGAGGGTAGGAGTTGAAACAGTTTATGTCCGGGATGTGGAGTCCGTAGATATTTTCACAGCCTTCTATTTGACTTGTGCAGTATACAGGTTGAGGGCAGATTAGTAGTAATTGTTTTTTCTGCAGTCCTAATTATCCTCCGAAGTCTGTGTCTGTCTTGTTGGGTTGCAGAACCAAACCAGACAGTTATAGAGGTGCAGAGGACAGACTCAATCATTCTTCTGTAGAACTGGATCAGCAGCTTCTTGGGCAGTTTGAGCTTTCTGAGTCGACTGCTCCTTTTTTCTTTTTTGACCAGAATTGTGATTGCTAAGCAAGACAGTTTTGGAAGAGAGTCGCACCCAATTTTATGACTATTTTTATGATTGTAAAGTGAACCAATGCATTGTTAAGTGAATCACACAGTCGTTAAACCCAGATTCCTTTGCATTATCAGAACCAGCCGGCAAGGTGCAAATAGCGGCCACATGACTGAAAAACAAGCCAGGTACAAATTTTAATGTGACCGTGGGGATGCTGCAATGGTCATAACTGCGAGGACCAGTTGTAACTCATAGTTTTCCGCACTGTTGTGACTTAAAACAGTCACTCAATGAATGATTGTAACTTAAGGACAACCTGTAAATTCTATTACAGATCAAACCAAGAATGCCTGTGTTTACAACAGACACTTAACACATATCACAAATGCCTTCCTCCTTCAAACAAATTCACACATTCTCCCAAAAACACAACGAGAGCAATTACAAAGAAATATCTTTATTTGTGGGTGGGTTGCATAACTTGCTGCCATTGAATTTTGTTTTTCTTACGGCCCAAAACAACCCCTCCCTCATTTTTTATTCCAAAATTTCTTGTAATATTCCAATTGAAAGTCGTCTTCGAAAGTTGCAACCACTTCTTCCTTCTTGGACTTCATCAAGTTCTTCCTCCTCAACCGACTTCTCCTTTCGGCCTCGGGGAGAGTGTTGAGGTCCACGGGTATCTGAGTGGGGAAAAAAGACATTTCTCAGTAGCTGGGCCGACAGATGGCTAGACTACTGCTACGGGAAGCCTACCCGGGGCTGCCCTTGAATACTATCCAATTCAATTTTCAACCCGCTTACTAGCGGGCCTGTGTTGCTTTGAGTATCTTACACCTGTTTTGGCAGGTTGAGTTCTGAAGGCTATTTTTGACTTCAAAACACATTTATTATTATAGATAGTCCTCGAGTTATGGCCACAATTGAGTTCAAATTTTTACTGCTAAGCAAGACAGTTAAATGAGTTTTGCCCCATTCTATGAACTTTCTTGCCATAAGGGAATCATGCAGCTGTTAAAAGTTACTCATATGGTCGATAAGTGAATCTGGCTTCTCCACTGAGTTTGCTTGTCAGGAGGTCACAAAAGGGGATCGCATGACACCGGGACACTGCGACCGTCATAAATATGAGTCAGGTGGTAGAGGCTGGATTAAGATCATGAGACCCGGGGGATGCTGCTAAGGTCATAAGCGTGAAAAAGTCATGAGTCACTTTTTTCACTGCTGTGACTTCAAATGGTCAGTGAACGAATTGTTGTAAGTCAAGGACTACCTGTATTATTAAATTTTTAAGCATCCATCTCTTGTATAAGGTGGTGCAAGTTACAAAGGGAATATAAAAACATATGACTTGGCACACAGATTCCTGCGATGTTGTGAGTTTGTGTGAATACAGGTGGTCCTCAACCTACGACCAAAATTTATGTTGCTAAGTGAGAAATCTGTTAAGTGAGGCTCACCCCATTTTGCAACTTTTCTTACCACCATTGTTAAGTGAATCACTGTGGTTAAATTAGCAACATGGTCGTTAAGTGAATCAGGCTTCCCCATTGACTTTGCTGGTCAGAGGGTCGCAAAAGGGGATCACCTGACCTCAGGACACTGCGACCGTCGTAAGTGTGAGTCAGTTGCCAAGCGTCTGAGGGTCGCAAAAGGGGATCACCTGACCTCAGGACACTGCGACCGTCATAAGTGTGAGTCAGTTGCCAAGCGTCTGAATTTCAATCACATGACTGAGACTGCTGTCGTAAGGGTGAAAAATAGTCATCAGTTACTTTTTTTCAGTGCCGTTGCAACTTTGAATGGTCACTAAACAAACTGTTGTAAGTCGAGGACTTCCTATATATTACATTGGTGTGTGTGTGTGTGTGTGTGTGTGTATGTATGTATCTGCAGTCCCACACAACCCACAGCTGTTTTCTTTCCCCTCTGTCAGTAAGAAATAATAAAACAAACAAAACTACCGCAAATCCCTATACGTATAGTCCTTGATTTATGACTGTTAAGCCCAGAATTGAGGTCCTAAGTTATGCTGGCCATTAAGCGGGTCATCACATACCTGACCCAATTTTGTGACTTTTTTGTGGTGGACGTTAAGCAAACCACCACGACTGCTACACGACCCTGCAGTCGTTAAGCGAGCCGATTGTCTACAATAGGCCAGACGGGAGCTCAGAAACAAGTCAGATGGTTGCAACATGGTTTAGGGAGTCCTACCCTGTCACTGCAAAGGAAGCCGGGGGGCTTAATTCTCACCTGAAGGATACGCCTCGGCTCTTTGTAACGGAGATGTACAGTAGATCCGTCCAGTCTAATCAGAAGGACCGGATATAGCCGAGCGTACTTTGATCTTGGAAAGCAAGCGATGGACGTCCGATTGGAATTCAGATGATTGGGCGTTGTGTGAAGCCCACAAGCCCCGAGAAGACATCTGGACAGATTCCCGACCTGCAGGATGCTGAAACCAATTCAGACAACACAGAATGGCATCTTTCAAAAGGTGTGGACTTCAATTCCCAGAATCCCCCAGCCAGCATGATTTAATAGGGGCGGACTTCAAATCCCAGAATTCTCTACGGAGCATGCTGGTGGAGAACTCTGGGATTTGAAATCCATCCATCTTAAAGTTACCAACACTGCAGTAACTCTTTTTAAATATTCCAAGATATATACCCTTTTCAGAATATCGCTGCTGTAAAAATTTCTTTTTTTTTAAGCAAATTTTATTGATTTTAACAACAAAGACACATAACAAAACATCATTAAACATTAAAAACATAAAACCTCTTTCCATTATAAATCTTTACAAGGCAGGTAACACATTATTTTATATCACATTCTTCTAATTTATCCCATTTCCATATAAACATGTAAATTCCCTTTAACAAATTTCACATTATTTCTCTTTACTCTTATTCAATAACTTTTCTAATTTATCTGCTATTCAATCATCACATTTTTATAGAATTTCTGTTAAGACTGTTATGGGAACATTATAAATACCTTAAACTCCTGCTTATAGCTGCCATTCTGATATGCAATGAGACTTTGGGAATAAATCCTGATCAGGAATTCCTAGGAGGATTAAAATGCTGGGCTTTTTTTCTGAGCCATAATGCGAAGCCCTTGAGAAGTGGAAGAAGAGAAAAAAAATAAATCACGTTACAATCTTTGGATCTGTTATTTTGTGCTTCCAATGTTGGAAATAAAATTTTAGAGTGGCTTTTCGTGCATGGGTAGCAAATGAATGAATGAACAAGCAAACAAATGCAAGAAATAAAAAAGTTGCAAGTTAGTAGGAAATATCTTGGATTGTTTGCAAAATTGTGATTTGGCCATTATTTATTTAAAATAATAAAAAAAGATACATAATCCACCTATCAGACCTGCTAAAATTAACCAGTTTAAAAGTCATATAATTTAAAACTGCTCTTGTGGCGCTGAAATATTGCATCAAATTCCAAGAAGTATAAAAAACGTTTAAAGGTTTGCGACCTTTCTTGCCCCAGTTGCTGCAGTTGTTAAATTAGTCAGAGGGTCGTTAAGTGAATTCAGCTTCCCCATTGACTTAGCTTGTCAGATGGTCGCAAAAGGGGATCACATGACCCTGGGACACTGCGACTGTCATAAATACGAGTCAGTTGCCAAGCGCCTGAATTTTGATCAGGTGACCTTGTGGAGGCTGCTATGGTTGTTAAATATGAAAACCCGTCGTAAGTCTCTATTTTCAGTGCTGTTATAACTTTGAATGGTCACTAAGTGAATTGTTGTAAGTTGAGGACTACCTGTAAATGGCAGCAGGTCCCAAGTTACACTGCCATGTAATCTGGAGGCTCTGTAAGCCAGTCAACCTCTATATAGGGATCTCCAAACTTAGTAACTTTAAGATTTGTGGGAAACTCCCAGAATTCCCTAGCCAGCATAGCTAGCTGAGGAATTCTGGGAATTGAAGTCCACGAGTCTTAACGTTGCCAGGGTTCAGCCAATCGTGGTTTGTTGGAGCTCCCCTTTGCTTCGCACCCATCTCACGCTATTTCCCACGCCCGGAATGAATTGCCTCCCGGTTCCACGTCTATTCCCCCACCAATTCTCGCAATGGTTTGATCCTTACCCACCCCCTTCCCGCTTGCCGGTGGTTCGATCCTTTGCTTTTCCACTCTGCGAATACCCGCGGCCCGCTTCTTCTCTTCTCCTTCCTCCAGAATGGTTCAACCTATCGCTGCCCTCCCCTCGTCCGTGTACCGAATGGTTTAACCCGGAACGGCCGAGGGTAGGTCATTTACGCATGTGATTCCTGGCTGGCCCTGCCAGGCGCTTTCAATGTCCTCTCATGCATCTGTGACGTCATCCGCGCCGCCGCTCTCCCACACTGCCTTTCGGCGCGGCCGGAACGTACAGTGCTCCCGGATACGGGGCGGAGCTTGCCTGGGGCGGCGGAGCCCGGTCATGGCCCGCCCCGCCTCTGTGAGTCATCCTTCCCGGACGCGGCTCCGGTTTGGCTCCTCATGTGGTGGCGGCACTTCTTATGCGCTGCAGTTTCAGGTGAGTGCAACAGCTTCGGGGTTCCCCCACGCCCCATTTCGACTTTGAGGTGTGCTGCAGAAATGTGCCCCCCCGGATCCCGCACTACTTCGCGTTGGTTCCACTACAGTTATGGCGCTCTGCGAGCCTTCCCTTTGCTTTCTCCCAAGGCATTTAGCTGGCCGGGAGTGATGGGCCGCGTAGTCCTCCCGGCGCACGTGGCGCTTTTTTTTGGCGGGGGGGGGGATGCACAGAATGACCAATGCATTAATTGAAAGAATGCCTATTTAAAGGAGCCATTGGGGTACCCCTGAGGTCATCCAGTACAACCCCTATTCCATGGATGAATCCAAATCAAAGCATCTCATAGTTGTCCAGATAACCGCGATAGACACAGTGACTGAAGTAGAGAAGAGATTTTTCCCCCTCTAGGATTCGATGAGAACATCTAAAAATTGGAAGGGTCTGTAGAGGTCATCTAGCATGACCCCAGCTAAGTTCAGGGTCCCCTGCAGCATTTCTATCAGCTGGCCAAAGAAAGGCCAGTTTTCTCTGCAAGTACTCAACTTATGACCAGAATTGTGCCCAAAATTTCTGTTGCTAAGCCAAGTTTAGTGAGTCACATCCAATTTTTTTTACCGTAGTTCCCATCGCCTCCAGGTATCAGTTGTTGGATCCTGGGCCATAATCCAGGTCCCCTAATTTCTGGTGTTTCTTTAAAATAATCTACTGACTATTACCTTGAACGCAGTCAGCTCCACTCACTTTATAAATAAAATTTTATCACCAGCCAGAATCTTTTCCTTTGCTGAGAAATGGCTGCATTCTCAATGTTATTTTATTTTTATCTAGTAACACATTTATATGTGGGGTCCTTAGTGGTCTCTGAGCTTGGTTTGTTTGTTGCAGACGTTTCATTACAAAACTAGGTAACGGCATCAGTGCTACGAGATTATCTCCTTTAGCACTGATGATGTTACCTAGCTGGGTCATGAAATGTCCACAAGAAAACCACCAAGCTCAGAGACTACCAAGGACCCCCCAGTCCTCCTTCATCTGCACTTCCACCTCCTTCAACTGATAATGTTAACTAGTTGGGTCATAAAATGTCTGGGGGAAAAACGATCAACTATCAGAGCGTATCAAATACCACACAGTTCAACCTTCTATCTCTTCTATCACTACGAATTTATATATCTACCCAAGTAACACATAGCTGACTGGGGTAGAGTGGGTAACAACATTAACATTTTGAGGCTCACTGAGCTACCATATCAATTTTTAAAAATACTGCTATAATTCTGTTTTCAGTTTATCTCTGCAAGTAGAATGAGAGTACAGGTTGTCTTCAACTTGCAACTAATACCACTCTTTAGAATGGTACTAATACCACCCTATAAAGCCTTAGTAAAACCACACCTAGAGTTCTGCATCCAGTTTTGGTCACCACATTATAAAAAAGATGTTGAGACTCTAGAAAAAGTGCAGAGAAGAACAACCAGGATGATTAGGGGACTGGAGGCTAAAAGATATGAAGAACGGTTACAGGAACAGGGCCTGGCTAGTCTAGGGAAGAAAAGGACCAGGGGGAACAGGAGAGCAGCCTTCGAGTATTTGAGGGGCTGCCACAGGGAAGAGGAAGTGGGTCCAGCTATTTTCTAAAACCACCTGAAGGGCAGACAAGGAATAATGGATGGAAACTGAACAAGGAGAGATTCAACCTGGAAATAAGAAGAAACTTTCTGACAGTGAGAACAATTAACCAATGGAACAGAGGTTGCCCTTGGAAGTTGTGGGAGCGTCATCATTGGAGGCTTTCAAGAAGAGATTGGGATCGCATCTGTCAGAAATGGTGTAGGGTCTCCTGCTTTGGGGGGGCTGGACTAGATGACCTAAAAGGTCCCTTCCAGCTCTGATTATGTTATCTGTTACAATGGTTATTTAGCGACCATTTGAAGTTACAACATCAGTGAAAAAAATGACACGATCATTTTTCACACTTACAACCATTGCAGCCTCCCTGTGGTCACATGATCAAAATTCAATCAGCTTTGCAACTGACTCATATTTATGACAGTTGCAGTGTCTCTGGGGGTCACCTGATCCCCTTTTGCAACCTTCTGACCAGCAAATTCAATGGGGAAGCCAGATTCACTTAACAACGGTATAACTATCTCAACAACTGCAATGATTCACTTAACAAATAAAGCAAGAAATGCTGTAAAATGGGACAAGACTCATATAACAAATGTCAGACTTAACAGAAATGTTGGTTGTGGTTGTAAGTCGACCACGTATATAAATTCTCAGGGCTTGAAATGTCAATTCTGTCAATTACTTGGAATCTTTTAACTCAATGAATTTTACACTCTAAAATTGGAGTACGATTTGAATGATAATCAGTTCCAAGAATCCAAAAAGGTTGGTGAAAAGCAGATATATTAAAAACCTTTTTTTTTCAATATTCTGAAATAAGTTCTGATGAACATCTAGGATTATGATGATTTGTTTTTTAATCTAAAAAACTTATTTTCAGAGAGATGAATGGAAGTTTAAAAGCTAAGGGCAGATGCCAGATTAAATACAATGAAGCGTCTTATATGTCCTTTTGGCAATTATTAAATCTATGCTGGAGCTGTCCACTTATTTACAGGATTACAAGCAACTGAAGCAGGAAATATCTAATTATTGCTGCTTTCTCTGGGAAACACATGTGCTGCGTGCTGTTCCCTGTTAGTGAATTTTATGCATGGCTTATAATGCACAAACAGCTTCTGAAAGCCAGGGTGAATTTCCCAGTAATTTATTTAATTTACCTATTCCTTTGGTGAAGGTCTGTCCCATCAAAGCATAATTGATTCCCAGCTTCTTTCAACAGAATAAATGAGATAAAACCAACCCAGGATAAGCACATCAGGACAAGCAAGCTGCCAGAAACAAAACACTGTGTAAATTAACAGATTAAAATATAGGTAATCCTAAACTTAAAAACAGTTTGCTTAGTGACAATTTGAAGTGACAATGGCCCGGAAAAAAGAGACCAATGATTGTTTTTCACACTTATGACCATTGCAACATCCCCCTGGTCATGTGATCAAAATTGAGACATTAGGCACTGATCTCACCCTTCCTTCCTTCCTTCCTTCCTTCCCTCCCTCCCTCCCTCCCTTATCTTCCTTCCTTCCTTCCTTCCTTCCTTCCTTCCTTCCCTCCCTCCCTCTTTTCCTCTCTCTCTTATTTTCCTTCTTTCCTTCCTCTCTCTCTTATCTTCCTTCTTTCCTTCCTCCTTTCTTCTCTCTCTTACCTTCCTTCCTTCCTCCCTCCTCCCAATATGAATCCGTTTAATGATTTTATATTTTATTTTTCTTCTGTGTTGTGCCTTTACTATTTTCACAAATACCTCAAAGGGGTGAACATAATCAATATACCTTCTACCTCTTATTTTACCTAGAACAACAACCCTGTGAGGCAGGATGGGCTGAGAGAAAGGGATTGGCCCCAAATCACCTAGCCGGGTTTCATTCCTAGGATGGGACTGGAACTCACTGTCTCCTGGTGATTGGGCCAAAGTCCCCCGGCCAATTTTCATGCCGAAGGTATGACTAGAACTCCCAATCTGGTGATTGGCCCAAAATCACCCAGTTGGCTTCCCTGCCTCATGCAGTACTAGAACTCCCAGTCTCCCATTTTGTAGCCTGGTATCTTAACGCCTGCTCCAAACGACGAGACCCTAACCACGAGATCAGACAGTTTAAACTGCGTTCTTTTTTATCCAATTTCTGCTTTGCTCTTTATTCTGCACCAAGAGCAGGTAAGTAGAAGGAACAGAGCAAATTTCTGTAACACAAATTTCTTGTGTCATGGTTTTCAAATTTGGCTCCCTAATTATTCCTTTCTGCTCTCCTTGATCTTAGTTTAACGACTTACACACCTCTTGTTTTTTTCTTTTTTTGCTGTCCTTGGATCAGCCATTGTAAAAGCGGTTTTAGATTAAAGCAGGCTATAAATAGGAAATCAGATTAGCGGTGCTTAATTGGGAAAAGGGTTCTTTTTTAGGCTCCGTAATCATCTTTTATTTGGAAGCCTAATGTTCTTCTCCCGCTGAGTTTTCCTTCCTTGTCAGGATGTGCTTGACTGAAAGCCAACCTCATCAGATATTGTCACCCATAATAAGGGTCTCCAACCTTGGCAACCTTAAACCTGGAGGACTTCTCTCAGAATTTTTAAGTCCTCCAGGCTTAAAAGTTGCCAAGGCTGGAGACCCCTGACCCATAGGGTGGATTTTATTCCTTCCTTCTGCAAATATCCCTGAGGACCTTTGGTTTCAAACCTGTGGCCTTCCTGCGGCCGACGGCTGCATTTTAATCAGCTGCACCACGTGTGCGTTGTGTGACTAACTTAACAACCGTAGTGATTCACTTAACAACAATGGCAAGAAGAGTTCTTAAAACTGGGGCAAAACTCATTTAAGGACTGCCGCGCTTAGCAACAGAAAGTTGTGGCTCAGTTGTGGTCGTAAATCTAGTTTCCAGTACCACCTATGGAAGAGTTTTTTTAAAAAAATTAAATTCCCCATTCTAAAATTTAAGAGCCGTGGCCTTTCTGGTGAGTCTTTCCTGCCAGTGTTAATCAGGATTCTTCCCAGTTGGCTTTTTTGGGGGACTGTTCGAGATTAGCTGTTGCTTGTCCGGATGGATATGTTAAATAAATGATGGATATATAAATTAAACAAGGCTGACAAGACCGCTCATCGTTTCTTAAAACTCCTTATGTCGAAAGGCAGAGTTTACCTCCTCCAAAGCTAAGCTCATGCTGTCTTTAAGCATTAAATAGCCTGATCCAAAGCGCCTGCTGGAAACCACGAAAGATGATTAGGGATTGAGATTGTCCCAAGGTAATTAAGGCTTTAGACACTCAACCAGGCTGTTATTCCCTCTGCGCTGCCTTCTCCTCCCAACACGATCCGGAGCCATCCCTTTCCTTTCTTGGAATCGTAAGAAAAAGCAGGATTTCGTTACAGT